TCCCAGGCGCTATAGAAACAAATTTTGAACGAAACAATTTGCAGAAACAAATGCTAAAAAAAAACCCTTTTTCCTTTTAATAAATCATACGATCCCCACGGCACTATGAAAACAAATTTTTTAAAAAAAATTCCCTTTTACTTAACAATTCATCAAAACAATTACCAACGTAATAATTCACCAAAACAATTAAACCAACGATTCTACCCCCAAAATTTTTCTTACAAATTAATTTACAGACACAAGTGGAAACAATTTCAAAAAAAAAAAAAACTTCTCCTTTTCCTTCCTAATAAATCAAACGATTAAAACAAAATTTCTTTCACTTACTAATTCACAGAAATAATTTATTCTACTGTTTATTTCTTAACTAACACATATACATTTTTCTTTTCTTTAATTAATAATTCCCTTCTTCCCTCATCTAATTAATTTTTCTTTTAATGAAAAAAATGTAAACCTCCATTTCCTTTACGAATCCACGAAAACTCCCAACCCAAAAAAAAAACTTTACCTTTTCTTTCTCTTTTCTCTTTTAATTTAAACTTAATAACAAAATTTTCTATTTACCTTCACAATGAATGACGAATATAACCACAAGAATTTTAAACAGAATTTCTATCAATTAAGAAGTGTGAAATAAATTAGTTTTTCTTCCCCCTTTTATACTCACGATCTAAATTTAACTTGTTAACTTTTTATTTTCAGATTTATGATTCCCCTTTTTTTAAAAGGATTTTCCTCACCAACTAAATCTTGACATAATATTCTCCCAATTCCTAATTTTGATTTATTATCTTCTAAACTATTTCCCTTTTCCAAACCTCAAACTTCTGCCAAATCATTAAATATATATTTTTTTTTTAAATTTAATTTTATCTCATTTTATGTGTTACCCTAACTTTAATTCTCCCTTTCTTTCCTCAAAAATTTAGGATGATTTATTGCCTTTCTTATTTTTTCTCTTTTTTTTAACTTTTTATTTTGACATTCTTTTTTAAATCGAGAAGTTAGCTTGTCAACATTTTTATTTTTCAAACATTCTTGTTTTACTTAACTATCCCTAAACCTGTCGCGCACATATCCAACTTATTTACTAAACCTAATTTCGTAAAAACCTTTTAACAAAGAGAGAGGCAATTATTACCAATAAATATTAACTTTATTAAACACTCATTTGGGTTCCTATTAAGCTAAACCTTTACGAAATCACCTCGGCATCAATTACAATAATTGCTTCTTATTAAGAATATACCCGAGGTATTTGGGTCAAAAAGGTGCCCAAAACGCCCCGATATAATATAAACTCCGGGCCCCATTAATTTAATTATTGCATTTTGCATACATGGTTAAGATCCCACACATCGAATGGTTCATTCCAGATATTCGGTCCCATTTTTCCCTACCTGCACACATTTCAGAATAATCTCCACATTCGGACGGTACAATTTTTTTATATTTATTTAGGGGTAATGGCTGACATCCGGAAGGACAATACCTACCCCACTAATTATCTATATTATTTTTCTCTTTTTCGTACGATCCGGAAGGACAATACCTACCCCACTAATTATCTATATTATTTTTCTCTTTTTCGTACGTTGGGACAATCGCTGACATTCGGAAAAACAATACCTACCCCACTAATTATATATATTTTTTTTTCTTTTTTTTTTTACATATATTCCCGTACCCTGGATTCTGTTTAAGCCTAGTCCAATTAATACCCTCATTTACTTCTCACCACCCGCAGCGCCCCTCTCAACCTCTCCGGTTCTATTCTTTTACGCAACTGATCCCGATGCCGCACCCCCTCTCTCCCATCCGCGAACCTCACTCTAGTCACTTTGTTTCCCATGTTCTCCAAAATTACTCCCGCCTCCCATTTTCTATTACTGTTGAATATTCTGGCCCATACTGCCTGTCCAACTATGAACTCCGAGGCCTTCCCAGTTTCGGTTGGCTCCTGCCTCTGCTCTGTCGGTCTTAGCGAATCCAACCAAATCCTGGTCCTCCTCCCTAAAAATTTCTCCGCCGGCGACGGCTCCTCCCCTTTTCTGCTATTATTATAATACGCCACAGCTACCCACATTTCCCCTTCGCCATCCTTTGATTTTTTCAACCAATTCTTGACTATCGCCACCATCCTCTCCGCCTGTCCATTCGAACTCGGATGGTACGGCGGTGCTAAAATGTGTTTGGCTCCCGTTTCCCCACAAAAGATTTTGAACTGCTTACTGATAAAAGCCGGCTCCCCATCCGATACTATTATAGTGGCCACTCCAAACTTAGCCCATAGATTCTTCAATATCCTTATAACCACTTGAGTCGTTAATCCTTTGACCTCCTCATATTCAACCCACTTGGAAAATGCATCCACTACCAACATATACATCTTGTTATCAAAGTCGAAAAAGTCCAAGTGAATACGCTCCCATGGCTGAGTAGCTTTTGGCCATACACTTTCCCTATCTTTTCGAGGCATCGGAGCCCAAGAATTACATCTGACACAGGCTCGACTGATATTTTCAATGTCTTTGTTCATTCCCGGCCACCATACATACTCCCGTCCCCACTGTTTCATTCTCTCCATACCTTGATGTCCCGCATGAATCATTGCCATCACGGCCTCCCTTAATTTGAACGGTATAACACTCCGACTCCCTCGCACTAGACATTCATCTATAATTGCTAATTCCTTCTCTATATATTTGAACGTTTTGTCCCCATCTTGCCACGTTTTCCGTCCCTTGAGACACGCTTTGACTCGTCTCAATTCCCGATCCTTTAATGTTTCCCTTTTAATTGCCTCCCATGTCACTGGCCCACCCCTGGATATCCCAGCCATCGTTCTGATTAGTATTCGTTCCTCCTTCTCATCTTGTCCCTCCTGTTCCTTCCCCTCACAATCCTCTCCAGCTCCACATCGAGATAAAATGTCCGGTAGGTAGTTCTCTTTCCCTCTGCGATACCTCACTTGTACGTCAAAGCTACCCACGAGCAATAGCCACCTCTGCAACCTGGGTGACAGCATCAGCTCCTTGTTATCTTTCTTGAATAGATGCACAAGCGGCTTATGATCGGTGTAAATAACAAACCTGCGCCCAATTAAATATTCCCGGCATTTCGTCAATCCAAAAATAACGGCGAGTGCTTCTTGCTCAATCACGGAATACCTAGTCTCTGCCTCTCTAAATATCCTTGAGAAAAATAACACCGGTCTTTCCAACCCATCAATACAATGTAATAAAGCCCCTCCTACCCCTTTATTCGACGCGTCTACCGCCACAAATACGTCCAATTCGCTGTTGAAGCACACTAATATAGGTTCCTTTCCAATTCTGCATTTCAGCTCTTTAAAGGCCACCTCTTGTTCTTCTGTCCATTCAAACTTTTCTCCTTTCCTTAGCAATTGATACAACGGCGCGGCTACCTGAGCAAATCCTTCCACAAAACGATGGTAATAATTGACCATTCCCAAAAAGGCCTGCACTTCTGCTTTATTATTTGGTCTCTTCATATTGCTAATTCCCGTCATGTTCTTATCCAAAGGTCTCACCTCCTTTCCTGTAATTTTGTGTCCTAGATACGTCACTTCCATGACCCCCAAAACGCTTTTCTCCGCACTGGCCCGCAATCCTTTTTCTTTTATTCTCCGAAATACCTCTTCCAATCTCTGTTCATGTTGTTCGGGAGTTCTTCCTGTCACTAGCACATCATCCATATAGTAGTAAACTCCTTCCAATCCTTGAAAAACCGCTGCCATAGTCCGCTGAAAAATAGGAGCTGATACACTAAGTCCAAAGGGCAATCTACAAAACGCAAATAACCCTTTTGGGGTCGTAATCGTTAATAACCTTCTCACCTCCGGTTTCACCCGCAACTGTAGGTACGCATTAGAGAAATCAATCTTTGAAAAATATACACTTCCCTTTAAACTGGCCAATATTTCTTCAATACGCGGCAATGGATATTTGACCTCCACGACCCATGGATTTAGCGTGACCCGGAAATCTGCACATAGACGGAGTTTTCCATTAGCTTTCTTCACTGGTACCAACGGGGTCGCCCATTCACTGTACTCTATGGGACATACAATATCCTTCTTTACCCATTGCTCCAACTCCCTTTCTACTTCTCTCCGCCACTCAAAAGGTATCCTTCGCAACGCACAATACTTTGGAACGTAACCATCCTTTAACTTAATATCTACTTCATAATCTTTGAGACAACCTAAATCCTCATTAAAAATCACTCGATAATTTTGTACTAATCTTCGGGCTCCTTCTTGCACTTTGGCCATTCCCAATGCCTTTCCATCCTCATCATTTAGCAACGCTTCATCATCGTGCAACGTCCTAGCCTTCATAACTTCCCGATTTCCTTGAGTTTGAGTATTCCTCACTTCCCGATTTCCTTGAGTCTTAGCCCGATTTTCTTGTGTCCTAGCATTAATCACTTCCCGGCTTCCTTGGGGTTGAGCATTATTCACATCTCGATTTTCTTGGGTCTGCGCATTATTCACATCTCCATTTTCTTTAGGCATCCCTACGTTCCTTTTTCCCGTATCTCCTTCCTCCTCCATTTCCTTAATATCACCATCTTCCTTAACAGCTCCAACGTGCCCCGAGTAAATTTTCCTAGATTTATCTATATAATTGTTGTCTCTTGTTTCTTCCCTAGAAGTATTCCCCCTTATTTCTCTCTTATAATTCAACTCTCCTACTCTGCCCCTAACATCACTTCCCTTTGTTGCGCCCCTTGAATTACTTCCCCTGGTTTCTCTCCTTAGATTGGCTTCTCTTGCTACGCTCCTTGGGTTGTTCCCCTTTGTTTCGCTCCTTGGATCCTCTCTTGTTGCGCTCCTTGGGTTGTTCCCCTTTGTTCCGCTCCTTGGATCCTCTCTTGTTACGCTCATTGGGTTGTTCCCCTTTGTTTCGCTCCTTGGATCATCTCTTGTTACGCTCATTGGGTTGTTCCCCTTTGTTTCGCTCCTTGGATCATCTCTTGTTACGCTTCTTGGGTTGTTCCCCTTTGCTTCGCTCCTTGGATCCTCTCTTGTTACGCTTCTTGGGTTGTTCCCCTTTGTTTCGCTCCTTGGATCCTCTCTTGTTACGCTTCTTGGGTTGTTCCCCTTTGTTTCGCTCCTTGGATCCTCTCTTGTTACGCTTCTTGGGTTGTTCCCCTTTGTTTCGCTCCTTGGATCCTCTCTTGTTACGCTTCTTGGGTTGTTCCCCTTTGTTTCGCTCCTTGGATCCTCTCTTGTTGCGCTCCTTGGGTTGTTCCCCTTTGTTCCGCTCCTTGGATCCTCTCTTGTTACGCTTCTTGGGTTGTTCCCCTTTGTTTCGCTCCTTGGATCCTCTCTTGTTACGCTTCTTGGGTTGTTCCTCTTTGTTTCGCTCCTTGGATCCTCTCTTGTTACGCTTCTTGGGTTGTTCCCATTTGTTTCGCTCCTTGGATCCTCTCTTGTTACGCTTCTTGGGTTGTTACCCTTTGTTTCGCACCTTGAACGGTCTCCCCTGGTGTCAGGCTTCAATACAGTCTCAACTCCCGACCTTCCATTTTCACCCTCAAATGTCATAACTGCATACTCCTCACTAGTATTTGGTACAAATACACCCCACCATGAAAATACCCCCCAAAAACCATACCAGGGACCAATCCTAGTGATCCAGTCCCACCCCAACACAGCTTCTATATTATGATTGATAATCCATAAATCTAATACTTCAACTCTTTCCCCCAATTTTGCTGTTATCTCCACCCTACCCATTGCCGCCATCAGTGTCCCATCAAACTGTCTTATCCTTAACCCCTCATTCTCTATCATTTCCCCTGGCCAAATACTTTGATATCTATTATATCCAATTACTGAAATAGCTGCCCCCGTATCAAATAACATGGGAATAATTTTCCCCCCTAAATTAATCATTACTCTCGGGCAAGGATCATTAATTATCCCATCTTGTAACATATTTAAAACCCCCTCCCTATTAGTTATCTTCCGAAAAAATCCCTCCTCTGTTCTTCCTAACCGCCACGCCCCGATCCTTAATGTCGATTTTTCGCCATCATATAGTCACACATTCTCACAGTCCCTCGCCACATGTCCCGCCCCTCGACACCTAAAACACTCCATATCCATCTCCCCCGTTTCCTTGACATTGATCGCACGAACCCCTTCCACTTTTTCTCGCTTAATAGTCCTTACATTTGAAGCATTTGGACCCATCCCCCTCTCCGGAAAACCATTCTTATTACTGTACTGCTTACATTACAATCCATTTTATTATGTCCAAAGCGTCCACAACCCGCACATCTCAACCTTTCCTGTTTGCCAGGACAGTAAGGGGCTATATGACCAAATTTCCCACAACCAAAACACTTTGTATCACGACAATCTCTAAGCATATGACCTAGTTTACCACAATTATAACAATTCATTCCCCCTTTCCTTTGCGGCTCAAAACTCTGTCTTATTTCCATTCTCCTTCCCCTAGAGTACTCTTTTGGTTCTCTATAAGGTCTCAATGCCTGATTATCATTACAATCCTGCTTGTCAGTTATATATAAACTTCTGCTTATATCGCTATCCGTCCACCCCCTAATTAACTCCTGAACCGGCAACCATGTTACTCTGCCCATCATATCTTCCTCTCCATTATGCCCCTCAATGGTTAAAGTTTGTCCTTTGATTTTTACACTGCGACTTCTCTTCATTCTCCTGCCCCAAATTAAACTACAAATCCATATAATTAATATCACCAACGCCCCAAAAATATTATACTGAACCTCCCAATACTTAACAAATTTTAAGCTTTTCATCCGAACGTTATAAAAAATTTATTATTAATTTTAAAATGAAAATCTTGGTTATTTGTAAAGTTAATAGATAAGATATTATTACTAACGTAAATAATCCAATAATGCACATATACATGCAACAATCTCAAACAAAATAATCAATATACCTATTATTGATAGGATGTTGTCTAAATTGCTCTCCGCGAATTTATCCTGTATTTTGATTTCTTTAACCCAAACTGATAGCACTTTTGTGTAATTTATTTCTTCAAAAAATTTGGACAGCACTTCCGTACAATTATGATTTGCGAAAAATTTGGGCAGAACTTCCGTGTATTTAAGCCTCACGAATAATTTGGGCAGAACTTCCGTGTATTTAAGCCTCACGAATAATTTGGGCAGCACTTCCGTGTATTTAAACTTCGCGAATAATTTGGGCAGCACTTCCCTGTGTTTAAGCTTCGCGAATAATTTGGGCAGCACTTCGGTGTATTTAAACTTCGCGAATAATTTGTGATTTTCTATTCTTAAACTTCCGCCGCACGGGTAACCTAAATTCTCACCAAAGGATTTTATATTCTTAAACTTCCGCCGCACGGGTAACCTAAATTCTCACCAAAGGATTTTATATTCTTAAACTTCCGCCGCACGGGTAACCTAAATTCTCACCAAAGGATTTTATATTCTTAAACTTCCGCCGCACGGGTAACCTAAATTCTCACCAAAGGATTTTATATTCTTAAACTTTCGCCGCACGGGTAACCTAAATTCTCACCAAAGGATTTTATATTCTTAAACTTCCGCCGCACGGGTAACCTAAATTCTCACCAAAGGATTTTATATTCTTAAATTAAAAGTTTTTTTACGATATGCTCGTCTTGGCCACCAATTTATCAAAAAGACTGACAAACGGACAATTTATAGGGGAAAGGGGTTCGGAACGAAACCGATAAGCTTTATCTTATCAATTTAAATTTTTAATTTCTTTTTCTTTTGTACCTCACAAGATTAATCGAATTTTTTTCTCTTTTAAATATACTTTTCTCACAAGGAGAAAAACAAACTTTATTAAGTAATTAATTAATTTTTTTTTTAAACAAATTTTCTTTCTTTTTTTTTAAAGAAAAATCAACTAAACAAAAAAAATATAAACCTCAATAATAATCAATAATATTTATTTTTCTTTTTCAAAAAAAATGAATCAAAGATAATATCTATTATTTTTTTCTACACTATTTATATTATATTTAAAAAAAAATAAACATTATTTTTTCTAAAAAAAAATAACATTGCAAAATAATATTATAAAAAAAAATAATAACTATTCCTATATAAATAAACGACGGCGAGACACTAAGATACTAACAGAGATAACTATACTACTTATAAATAAACAATATATGCCTCGCGTCAACATTCCCCGATAGGACAATTATGATTTGACCGAATGGCGAGCTCAAAACCGACCACTTACTAAATATTCGATCTACCAAATTTGGTAGTAATATTATTTGGAAAATGTTCATTTTTGTTTAATTTATCTATAAATTCGTGCAAATCATTATCCCAAAAAATATTTTAAAAATATCGTGATTTGACAGATAACCGATTTGAAACCGGCCCAATGACTAAATACTGTCTTGCTGGCGTTATACATGGAAAATTCTTTATTTTTGGTTTATATGTGAACAATAACGTGTTAAGCATTATCCTAATTAATTTTTTGAAAATATTAAGATTTGACCGAATGGCGAGCTCAAAACCGATCACTTACTAAATATTTGATCTACCAAATTTGGTAGTAATATTTTTTGGAAAATGTTCATTTTTGGTTTATTTATCTATATATACGTGTAAATCATTATCCCAAAAAATATTTAGAAAATATCGTGATTTAACCGAAAACCGATTTGAAACCGAAATACTGCCTTGCTGGCGTTATACATGGAAAATTCTTCATTTTTGGTTTATACGTGAACAATAACGTGTTAATCATTATCCTAATTAATTTTTTGAAATTATTATGATTTTACCGAATGGCGAGCTCAAAACCGACCACTTACTAAATATTCGATCTATCAAATTTGCTAGTATTATTATTTAGAAAATGTTCATTTTTGGTTAATTTATCTATAAATACGTGCAAATCATTATCCTGAAAAAATATTAGAAAAATATCGTGATTTGACCGATAACCGATTTGAAACCGAAATAATGCTTTGCTGGCGTTATCCATAGAAAATTCTTTATCTTAATAAATATTTTATTTTTTATCTATTATATAATATCATATAATCCAAAAAATAAAATATAATTTTATTAAATTAATGTCAATAAAAGACATTTGATACAATAATTATACCAAAAATAAAAGCGAAAAATAAATATAATTAAACGAGGCAGATATCCCTAGTATTTTCATCTATATATCATCATTTCCTCATATATTTAAAAAAATATTTAACAAAATAGAAATTATGAATCAATTAAATTATATTTATATGCGATGTAAAAAAAAATATTTAAAAAAAATTTGGTATTTGTGATGATATGAATAAAAATTAAAAAAAATTAATATTTGTATGCGATGTCAATAAAAAAATTTAAAAAAAATTTGGTATTTGTGACGATATGAATGAATAAAAGTTACAAAAATTAATATTTAAAAAATTTGGTATTTGTGTTGATATGAATAAAAATTAAAAATAAAAATAAAAACTATTTGTATGCGATGTCAATAAAAAAATTTAAAAAAAATTTGGTATTTGTGACGATATGAATGAATAAAAGTTACAAAAAATTAATATTTAAAAAATTTGGTATTTGTGACGATATGAATAAAAATTAAAAAAAAAAAATATTTGCATGCGATGTGAATAAATTTTTTTTAAAAATTATGATTAGGATGTTGTTCCGATACAAAAATCTATTGTAAAATTAAAAAATTGATTTGATATATATGAAAAAGAGTACGACGTTTAGGGCCTTATTATTTTTCAATTTTAATTTTTTTTATTGATACTGTTCTATTTTTTTTTATTCTAATTTTTTGACATGGTTTTTTAGAATTTTTAGGCTTTAAAAGTATTAATTCCCTGCATGATTACATGACATTTTCTCTTTCCCGTTTTTTACTTCCTTTTATTAAATTTTCTACCTCTTTTTTTTTATCTTCCTCACTAAATTTCTACCAAATTGATAAATCTATCTGAAATGACTTATACCCCTCAGGCAAATAATATTCTCCCTTTCCTATCAAAGCTCTTTTGAGATCTTTTTCTTGTATTTGTACTTTATTATATATTATATGAATTAAATTAATTAAATTACTTGATTGCCAATTTGTATAACTTTTAAATACATAATTCATGGACTCACAATTGTTGTTAGTCCATAAATCACTTATAATTTTATTTTCAAAAAATTAATTAGGATAATGCTCAACACGTTATTGTTCACGTATAAACCAAAAATGAAGAATTTTCCATGTATAACGCCAGCAAGGCAGTATTTCGGTTTCAAATCGGTTATCGGTCAAATCACAATATTTTTAAAATATTTTTTGGGATAATGATTTGCACGTATTTATAGATAAATTAACCAAAAATTAACATTTTCTAAATAATAATACTACCAAATTTGATAGATCGAATATTTAGTAAGTGATCGGTTTTGAGCTCGCCATTCGGTAAAATCATAATATTCTCAAAAAATTAATTAGGATAATGCTTAACACGTTATTGTTCACGTATAAACCAAAAATGAAGAATTTTCCATGTATAATGCCAGCAAGGCAGTATTTAGTCATTAGGCCGGTTTCAAATCGGTTATCTGTCAAATCACGATATTTTCTAAATATTTTTTGGGATAATGATTTACACGTATATATAGATAAATAAACCAAAAATGAATATTTTCCAAAAAATATTACTACCAAATTTGGTAGATCAAATATTTAGTAAGTGGTCGGTTTTGAGCTCGCCATTCGGTCAAATCTTAATATTTTCAAAAAATTAATTAGGATAATGCTTAACACGTTATTGTTCACATATAAACCAAAAATAAAGAATTTTCCATGTATAACGCTAGCAAGACAGTATTTAGTCATTGGGCCGGTTTCAAAACGGTTTTCTGTCAAATCACGATATTTTTAAAATATTTTTTGGGATAATGATTCGCACGTATTTATAGATAAATTAACCAAAAATGAACATTTTCTAAATAATAATACTACCAAATTTGATAGATCGAATATTTAGTAAGTGCTCGGTTTTGAGCTCGCCATTCGGTCAAATCTTAATATTTTCAAAAAATTAATTAGGATAATGCTTAACTAGTTATTGTTCACATATAAACCAAAAATAAAGAATTTTCCATGTATAACGCCAGCAAGACAGTATTTAGTCATTGGGCCGGTTTCAAATCGGTTTTCTGTCAAATCACTATATTTTTAAAATATTTTTTGGGATAATGATTTGCACGTATTTATAGATAAATTAACCAAAAATGAACATTTTCCAAATAATATTACTAAATTTGGTAGATCGAATATTTAGTAAGTGGTCAGTTTTGAGCTCGCCATTCGGTCAAATCATAATATTCTCAAAAAATTAATTAGGATAATGCTTAACACGTTATTGTTCACGTATAAACCAAAAATGAAGAATTTTCCATGTATAATGCCAGCAAGGCAGTATTTAGTCATTAGGCCGGTTTCAAATCGGTTATCTGTCAAATCACGATATTTTTAAAATATTTTTTGCGATAATGATTTACACATATATATAAATAAATAAACCAAATATTTTCCAAATAATATTAACACCAAATTTGGTCGATCGAATATTTAGTAATTTCGGTTTTAAGCTCGGCATTCGGTCAAATCATAATATTTTCAAAATATTTTTTAGGATACC